CGTCAGGCTTCACAGGTAAGGCTGCCTGCCAAGAATGGTGTGTCCCCCTCCCAACGCATTCCTTGCAGAAACACCTGGGTATTTGCTTTTTCACCCAAGAGCCATGCTGTTGTGTTTTGAACTCCAGTTTGTATGCTGGATCCTGCTGCTCAGAGCCTGACATGCCTTTGTGGGTGTGTATTTATAAACCCCACTTTGAAAGGCTTTCACAACACTAAGACATCTGTTTTTTTCATTTGTTCCCTCCAAAGGCAGCATGTTTTAGGAAGGGACACTGACAAATTAGAGGGCACTGGGAGAGGCTGCAGAGTGGTCAGAAACAGTGTCCTATGAGAAATCATTAAAAGACTTGGGAACATTTTGTCTAGAAGAGGAACATTTTGCCTGATAGAGGACTGATTTTAAAAATTTGAAGAGGCAGAGCCTTGATCTAGGCTGCTGTGTAGGGCTGGAATTGAACCAGCTGTAGAAGTGACAGAGAGGTGGATTTTGAATGGAGGTAGAGAAACTCTACCGTATTCCAGGAGGTTCTGGACCTCCTGGATACAAGGTGGCTGAGACAGTCCTGCCCACCAGGAACTACTAAAGAAGATAAGCTTAGACCTAAGTGACAACAATAAAAGTGCAAAGTTCCCCCTCGTCCCCTCCTGAAGACCACTGGCCTAAACTCAGCTGGCAACGTGGAATGGCCACACTCCAGGGAGTACAATTTCAAATTTGCTGCCACTCAAGATCCATTAAAAGCTCTGTGGACACACACAACATAGCAGGAGGAAGGCGTGGAAATCACTCAGCAATCCGGTCTTGCAGATGCTCCAAAATATACCTACGTCAGCCGGCAGAGAGCTGAGACCCTCAACTTGCCTCCTTCAGACTCCCCCTCGCCAGAATGTCTTTTCCTAACTCGTGTTTTGGTGCGATACCATCAGCTTTTATTGAGGGCTGATCACAGAAACTGCCCCATAGAGCTCACTGTTGTGACTAACGTGGGATGTTGTCGGGGTGGCTGCTCATTACCTCACACTGTGTTCTCTTCATGAGGCCCCCCAGGAGAAATTCCTGTCTGATTGTAGTACCAAGAATAGTTGTAATTCTCTTGAGCAATAGGTCTGTTTTTATCTCATGGACGCTGGGAATTGTGTAACGGACATGGTCTCTGTTTCATTTTGGCTGCTGGAAAGCTCATGGACAAATCTGTGGCCCACCCACAGGGGGTGAACAGGGCATCGCAGGGTGCCTTTAGCTTTATCCTCCTCTCCACTTTGTCTTCCCTCTTGGTTTTTCTTTCTTTTAGCATTTCTTATTTTACTATATAACTGAGAACATATAAGATGAATAAAAATCACCTGTAATCTTACTATCCAGAGATAACCACTATTAATAATGTTG